TACACATATATATGTACCTTGAACACTGTATGCAATCCAATGGCTTGAGCAGATTGCATTTTTTTAAAAAAATTTTTTTTCTATTTCATCCACATGTATGGTTTTTAAGCTACGCTGTCATTAACTACTTATACCAATCATTAGCTCGGATAGACTGTTACCATATGTGTCCCGGCAACAGCCTACGACACCGTCGGTCAGAACCACTATTTTTATTGGCTAAAGTATATTTTTAGCTCATTGAATGGAATCTGGAGTGTCAGGTTAAACAACGTTATTTCATTCATGTTTTATTATTATGAAATAAATAGAAAATAGTACCTGGAATATTCCCGCTGAAGGCCTATTGCCCGTGCTGGGGTAGGGGTAATATTATACATTATATAGAGATTGGGCGTAACAGTACAGACTCTATTAAATGATAGTTGTGCAGTTAGCAAGCGTTATATACTCGCTAAATTTGTAAACATCACTGAACTTCAGCGAACAATAGAAATTCGAATGCAATGGATATAATGACTGTGACATGGGATCTTTACGCATTCCGCCATCGTGGCATTCGGTGGACGAAATTTTTAAGTCTAACCGAGATCTGCTTGTTTCTTCGCTAGTGCAAAAGGTACAGCAATAGTTGATCCAGAATACTCGTGCAATTTCTCTGACCAGGTATCCCATCGAAGTCAGAATCCGCTACTGAAGTACATAACGAAGTGACGAAAAATCTTAACACACGCTCACATCAACCCGTATTACGGGAGGCGTAAGCTCGTCCGAGGGACGGTCACTGTTTTTTTGCAGTTGTCCTTTTAGGTGTGCCCGGTTCACAGGCGTTCAGGCGTCGAGTTATTGAGGCTACACATTGACGACGTTTTGCATGGCCGTGTTTATCGCTGTATACGATATAATAATGCGGTAGAATTTTCGCCTTATGGTTAGATCACTTTGAACGTGTTCACTGTGTTTGAACTATGCTTTAGCAAGCTCAGGTTACGATACTTTTCACAGGCTATTGCCAAAGTGAGTCTCTGTCGCGTCTGTCGTTGCTGGGGGAGACATATCTCTGACACGTCGTTTGTAGAAATTCTGTAATGTATCAAAAACCCAGGGTACGAAAAAAGCAGTCTCTGTGTAAACGCCAGGCTTTCCAGCTCGTGCACAGCCTTTTCCCCAAGACACGATGCCTACTAGAGTTGGGACCCCATCAACGAACTGCACTGCTGGACCACCAGAGTCTCCCTGAAATATAGGAACGATAGTTAAAGAACGTCGCCTCATATCCTTCTTTATTTATATATAATAAATTCGCATCAGCCAGCTTAAAGGTAGCTAAATTATTTTAGACAAAAGTCAATCTAAAATTTCCGAAATAATATATGTGTGCGAGAGATAATTAAAACTGTTTCTCATCTCAGTATGAGCTTTTTAGGAAGTAAACATTGAAATATAAGTTTCCTGTCCGATCCGAAATTCCAACAACACAACTGCAACTATATATACATATACATGTAAAATATAATATAAAATTCGAAAATTGTCCATTAGTTGGCCTAGAGGAATTGTGTTTAAATTCAGGATTCGCAAGCAAAAATCTACCTATTGAGGAAATGCTTTGCCTATTTTCATTAGAACGTACTTGGCAGGCGTCCTTTCCGCCTTCGGCAAGTCCTGCACAAAACATACTGTCGGGATGAAGGGTCGAGCCGAGTAAAAAATTCCATAACGAAGAATAAGACGAAGTGCATTGCTCATCGCTTATAACAGGCACTGTTACTGCTCGAAGTGCTGTTGAAGCTGTGAAGGAGCCTTCCGAGGTGACGCCCCAGCCTGATACAATTACTCCGCCTTTAAGTCAGGTCGAAAATACTTTTTTGAGCCATTATTGTAAACGTTCATTGGTATCCACTTAAGGAAATAGTTTAAATATTTATGTTATTAAACAAATTATCAGTGCTACTAAAGACTTACAAATGAATTTAGAGCCTGTAGAGATTAAATCGATATAGAGAATAATGAGTGTTCGATTTTATATACCTTTGTTAACCTGATAGCCCCTGGGTGGCAAACAGATAGCAGCAATTGCTCCCTCATCGGGAAGGCGAAAAGGGGTCAGTACCTTCATTAAGCCAATGTCGTTTCGATGACCATCTTGGCCGAAGAGAGGATGTGGAATCACGGTTTCGACCTCGAATAGAAAATGAAAAAAACTGAATAGTTTCAGATATCACCAGTATATTAGTCAGTTCTGCGATTTAAACTGCCCGATGGTTAGATTAGTTGAGGTAAATTAATGGCAACATGTATTTATCTAAATTGTTAGCGTCGAGTACAGCGTTGAGACAAATATAGGCAGGGCAAGTAATTGCAAAAATGTGGTGGAGTAGCGCACACAAAGGAAGGTGAAACAATTAAGATTTTCAGCAAAAAAACACGAGATGTTTTTTGTCAGGTTTTCGTCTATATAGTACGTAATCAAAGGCATTCGAAAAGTTTAGCAATTTTTTTTTTCAGATAGGTCAATAGAGCTGCGTTAATCGTTTCTTCAAAATCTCGAAACGGTATACGGTATATCTCATAAAATGGTATTTTGAAATGTATTTGTATATCAGATAGATCAAGATATATAGATCAAGACTGGGCATGTCGTCACCAGGTGTCCTAACGGCCAAGTTAATATTATACGCAAATTCTGCACGCTTTGTCAAACCTCGACTGCCATAAAACTTCTTCAGCGAAATTTTTCATAGAATGGCTATTAATTGAACATCCATTAGGATTAGCTATCAAACCGATAATCAGACGTAACCTGCTGCTTAAGAATGGTTCCGGGCCAATGTTTCAGATCCAAGAGTTTTAGGTAAAATTGTCTTGCGTTTGTTTTGGGCTCTGTTCCGGGTTTGTTTGTAGATTCGTGTCGTGATCGCATGTAGAATTCCCAACCCATTTTGTGCAAATACCCACTTATATATCTCTTGCTTGAGAATACGTGTATGCTTTCATGCGCCGTTGAAACTATGAAATGCACAGTATACTAATGTTAATATTACAGCGTACGAGAAAACGCTTTTCAAGTAGAACCGTGTGTTTTTAAAGCATGAAGCTTTTCCCTGTCGCAAGGATACGTACTCATAAAGGAAATATTGCTCTTACTGGTCCGTGCCTATAATCGGTATCTCTTACGCAGTCATATAAGTACCCACCACCCAATTCGATTATAAATATTAAAATATAGTTGTGAAGTTTTTTATATTATTGTTTATCTCGTCCGAGCAAAATCATCAAGGATCAATAATGAAGCACATTTCATTTTACTCGGATGATTTTGCTCGGACGAGATAAACACTAATACAAAAAAACTATATATATATATATATATATATATATATATATATATACAGTCAAATTAAATTTCTCAGTTATTCGCTGTCCATATCGCAGTAGGTATAAGTCATCGACTACGAACGAAAAGGCGCGAGGCAATCCTAAATCAATATTGGTTACTTATATTAACACTAATTACTAAGACATGTGAAATGCGTCGTCAAGTTACCGTTTCAAAAGGACAACCCAACTAGCTCCTCTAGAACGGGGTTTAGTGGATGAGAAGGGAAGAGGACTACATGATAGATAAAGCTTTTGAAGGAACCACATCTCTAACATGAGATACGAATCGCGTTGTTTACACAATCAGTGTACATGTTCCAACCCTACTGTAGTGTCTATGCGTGAGATCGTTTTGGTTTCGGTATCTCCTGTGTAGACCTACTCTATGTTCTTATTGTTAGTCGCACCGTGAACACCACCATTGGGCAAAATAGCGGGATTGATGTGCGCCGCAGCTCCTCGCCTGAAGTGCGCTCATCAGATCAACCGCATTATAACTGAAGAAAATGATTTTGGAAATTAGACTTTAGCCACAGATATAGAAATTCAAGATCTGATCAGTAGGTTCGAGGGGGCGCAGTTAGCTTCTTACATTGATAAAGATTTCGTAATCCCTGTAAATCACTACGCACTATTACCTTAACTTACCAAGTGTGATATTTGTTCTCTTGCTCGGATGTACCGGATGCAAGATATAGTAACGAGATATTTTATACTTCGGAATAATTATTTACACGCCTGCTTAAATGTCGATGCCTGATCTCTATGGTTCTTAAGCTGTTCGCTGACTAAACACATTCAAAGATGAACAAGCACCGGTGACTGCCATTCGGTACGCTCGCTGCAGCCAGCAGGTGCAATCATTGCGATGATACCAATCTTTGCGCAATAAACCCTCAGTTTTTCTTATGCCGGACTGATCCTTGTGGGCCAATGCCAAGACAATCCGGTACTATCATGGATACACGTGGGGGATATTCAAAAGACTCAGTCAACAGATGGGCGATCTTGTTCATATACACGCATATCCGACACAGAAGCGTCAGGCCACCTGATCTGGAGTCACTAACTTTACGCTCGCTTAAACACACTGACACAAAAATTACCATAGGAGGACTGTTGGAGATATTAGAAGCCATAATTATAGATGAAAACGTTTAAGTGCCACCCGTTGATTGGCGGACTGTTTATATCGGTTTTGCTTATCATGGCACCCGCGAGCGCAGAAAAATGTGGTTCGATCACAGAAGACTTCTGCAAAAATTTGAACGTATTATAGAGGATTAATTGGTGACATAACGAGCTAGTGCACGCCTTTTCTGCGAAAGTTCTTACGAAGTCAAACCAAAGAGTATTGATTTGTCACGGGCATTGCTTATCTGAAAGTGGGGGCCGTTTTCAAAAAAGCCACTGTACGAAGCCAACGTCAACAACAGTGAACACAAAAAAACGTCCGTGGTCCTGGCACAAGTGTCGCTAGTGTGCGTGACCCTTCAAGACCCTACGTAAATTATAGTGCACAGTTGCATATAATTATAGATAGCTGCCTTCACATGTATATATTTAAAAGTATTGCGCGCCCTTTTCTTATCGTGATCAATGCTTCGTAATTCAGCAGGGCCTTTAAGACATACTTATTAGTAGAGAGCTCTCGCCTTGACCGAAAGCATCAAATAGGAGACCCAGATATAGCGCGAGCTCAAAACAGGTTTATGGAACTGAACCGGCGGAAGCGCGCTACAAAAACCTGAATATGCGATTCGTTTTCCTCAAGTGAAATACAAAACACAAGGCAAGAAGTTTAGATTTAGATTATGTGCAAGACGGCGCTTTTTTACGCGCAAATTATTTTTCGTAAGGAGTACAGACTAAATAAGGCTAACAGATGTGTAATTGCTTTTCAATGGGAAAAGAGAGAGTAAACTGTGCCATTTTGCGGTTTGAAGTATTTCAAGGCTTGGGTGATTAAGAGGTGAGCATCTATAGAGCGTACGGCGTGGCTCGTCGTCGAGACTGTTTAGGAGACGCAAATAAAGGAAATTCTAGCCAAAGATCAAAGGTATCACACTGCAGTGGCAACCGGTAAATCCATAACAGCCGCTCTGACCTCTTCCGCAAGCTCTGCCCGGCTGACGGAGCCTAGGCCCTTTGCAAATCCTAATAGTTCCAGCTCTTTTTACATAAGTTAAAAGAGGTCTACTAGTTAAATCCTAATGTACAATACACGTGGCAACAGACCCACTTGGCTAAATGGCTCTGATCTACAGCTAATTTTTAGTGAATATGAGTACAGAGGCGGGCTGGGTTCTATATACTATGCTCATCAAAGACAAACACATACCAGGCAGTCTAAAGACAGTCCAGAAGCACTATACCTGCTCTAACAAAAAATATATAATATATATACATCATAGTGCACATATATATGCTCGACTAAATGGAATGACGTATTACTATTTAAGACACCATACGGTGTATGAGTATGACTGATGTTTCTTTTCTATATAATATAGATAATTATAACGAGAGGAATTATAAAAAAATCGACAAAATGGTTAAGTCATTACACTTTCTAAAAATGAAGCATATTAGCATGTCAAGCTAGCCCAACTCGCGTATAATATATAAGGTAACAGGACAAGTCTCTATTTTACGTTACCTTATATATATATATATATATATATGTGTAGCAGAGCTATAATGGAAAGTGTCTCAGCACTTCAATATGAGACCTGAATATTAAACAGGAGTAAATTTAAAATTTGCATTATTCAACCTGGCTCCATTTTGTCTCTGTTCGGATAAAATGAATAGATTTTAGAAAACAGCTTCTCTAGAGCCATATATTATAAAAGTAGTAATATGTAGTACGATTGAATTGGCTAGTGTACAATCACATGGTTCTGCAATGGACGTCGATTAAAACAAGGTAGTACTGCTTTTACATTAAATCTGCATGTACCGTATGACAATTGCACTAGCCGTAACATCTTGACAGTCTGTAAGTATATGCCCCTTTTTTTTGGCGAGTCATGTAATCCTTTTATCAAATATTCCTCATTAATTTTGACACGTTTATACACTTCGTATATTGTAAGCATGCATAGATATTATAGAAATTATATTTCTGTATGTCTCACTCCGGCTTAAATAAGTTAATATTTACACAACACTCATCATAACGGATGCTTCACGTGATCAGGCCGAAAACAAATTTAAAAACAATCAAATAAGAAAACAATATACGACGCTAGATTAGCCATGACTACAAAGACCGCAAACGCTACGTATGCCGATAATGTGTTGCCTGTTCTTTAAATCACGATTGTTGTTTCCTGTCCTATAGGTATGCATAGTGCGCGGGAAACAGCAATGGTAAAAAGTGAAATTTTGTGAAGCCTGTTTGTTCCATACGATTGGCCGGGCTTAGGATTGCGTCTCAAGTAGACCAGCCTTTAGACCTATCGCTAGGTCTTACCTTTGCAGAAATAAGATTAATTATAATCGGCTGAGATGATTAAACCGGAACATGCGCGAGAAGATATCATTATGTCTGCGTTGCTATTTTACTGACAGCGTTTGGCAAACGAGCGTAGATCTAAGCGAAGATATCCACCTTCTGTAAGCATCCGGCGTCTTGCCCCAACTATTAGGTCCATTCCAGTACATTATATTGAAACTATAGTAGATCGTAGTAACCGGCTGGCCGAATCGGTTCGTTAACGTCCTCCCCCTTCCCTCCACCTTTAATCTCCGACGCTCTTCGTAGCTACGGACGGCTGATTATCATTTTTCGACAGCTACACGTTTTACACGTATTTTTCGAATATTTATACCATGGATAGGTAAGGTAATTCCCATTAGATATTACATTTAAATGCAAAATAAATTTGGCTTATGAAGTCGCAAAGGCGTACCTTTCATGAGCAACATAAACACCTACTTTCGTATTTAAGAGTTGGAAACTTGATCCGCCTAGCTCATTCAGAAGGTTGCCTTTTTTCAGGGTTTTTGTTTGATCTATGAGCTTGCTCTCATTTCCTATAGTTGTTTTTTCAAAAAAAAATTCGTTGGCACATATATAGGATGCAAATGCTGAACGTACCTGCGACGTTTGTTTATGAGCGTCGTCGTCCTGTACGAACCCGGCTTGAACCGTAAAATGTCGTGCATCAAGATCACGGAGACAGTGCCCGGCTGTGAGCAACCATTCAGCATGGAGTAACGCACCTCCGCACAAATGACGTCCATTTCGTCGAATCGATACCTGCCATGGAAACTCGCTCGCTGCTGCCGCTCGACCGCCTGACCAAAAAACAAACACCGTTGATTTTTGCCATTGTATAATATCGGGACGGGTTATGGATGAATGATTATTTTGTTGATCAAACTTATAAATAGCATCGGCTTTTACTTGTAGTTTCGAACAAGCGTTCTCCATCTTCATAGACACACTTCAGCGGCAACAAATTTGCGTCTCCGCCGTTACTCAGAAATGTTCACTGTTAATATAGATATTATTAAGAGGGTGGTGTGCTTTCCGATAATTCGCGCCCTTCTTGCCGCACTACGTTCATCATCGTCCGGTGACCCTAGGAGGCAAATACTTTGGGAAGATGTTCTAACTGGCAAACTTGTTTCAGAATCTGAAATCAGAAAATTGACAGTAATAGGCTATAGTCTGGATATCCCGATTGCTGTGGTACATACTCCATCAATAACTAGTGACGTTGCAGTAAGTAGATCTCAGATACCGCAGAGTATAGGTGACGAAATGATAATATGTTTGCGGATACATACAACTGCGGTAAACTGCTATCTAGCAGCCGACCGAAAAATTATCGATTTGATACGAGTGATTATTTCAAAAAGCTAAATGTCCATTAAATGTAGTATGTATTTTTGGTTGCTATTCTTCGGGCATATTTGAGTTTAGAAAACAAACGAAATAACAGGTTATACTAAAACCAGCACAAAAGAAGAACAGGCTTATGTCTTGGTGACATGTATACGGAACGCGAAAAAAATCTGCGCTAGCCAATTCACACTTAGAATTTATGAGAACAAGTCAAAGCATTTTCAAATAGAATCTTTCTACTTGTTCATTAGGTTACAAAGGTGTCTATTTCTGCAGAGACTTCACACTTAAAATTGTGATTAGTGCATCCGTTCTTTGGTCTTTGACTGCGTGGTTATGAACGGTATTGTTGAAGTTTATCATTTGTGGTAAGATAATAACAACGATCGAACGTTGTGGGTTTAAAATATCGAATTCGGCTATGCTTTTTTTCTATTACATTTTTCTTGTATTCCTCTCAAATATGTGCTCCGAGCCTTGCAACGTCGACTCATTGTGCTTAGGTAAATATGAACACGTCTGAACGATGTTGACAGTCGTCCGGTTGGAACTAGAGATCTCACACATGGGAAAGCACATTTTAACCTAAGGAATAAATGTCGAAGCAAAGATGTCAAGACTAAGCTGTTCCAGGGTGCACATGCATCGGTGTAGCGTTATCATCAGTACCTAAAGGTCACAAAATCACCTATAGACTAAAATCAACTGACGTGCATGGCACGTAAATTCCGTTTTGTTTCACGTAGTAATACAAAGGTTGCCAACGAACATAGGATCCGCCAACGCATTCGTATTCAAACAATCCAAATGATAACATCCTAATAATAGCATGAATAGTTTGAAACCATGTCATAGCTGTGTAGAACGATTCTAACAACTAAAGCCAACTATTTTATAATGGTATTGGCGAAGAACCTGTTGGTAGGGATCGTATCACACAGATCTGTGAAAATGCTTATTCATTGGCACTCGGCTTCTCGTCACCTGACTGAAAAAATTACTTCCTATTCATGCGTCGGCTCCCCTATCTGTCGACGAACACCTCGAATATTGATTAGTTTATACTTGTTCCATAGACAAAATGGACCTTTTCCGATACCTTGGGCAGCTGTGCAGCAGAGGCAGACCATTGTCAAGACCAGAAGAGTTACGAGGAAGCTCATCGTAAGTGCTGGTGCTCTGAGGGTGAAGTTGCAAACAACTGTAATTCACCTGGAACTGAAGCAGCTAAAGGCAGTATAGCAGCAAGAGCCTATACAATAGATAGAACAAAATACCGTCAGACGTTATTCATCAACACTTCCGTCACTAACGTGTCGGGCGATTGTTAGCCAGATTCATTCTGCGTGAGTTGAATGACTGCTCGGTGTCGATGGACTTGGACTTCGCGAAGCGGCGGTACAGAAACTGATCTGGTACAATACGTTCGCAGTTAGCTAGATCCTTCTTCGAAACTTATATTCGTTGGCGAGAGCGTAAAATAGCACTCACAGTCCGAGAAGCGTGCATTAACGGCTAGACAAACATTTTAAGATTTGTTTATATAGTGCCCAGAACAAGATTTTCTGTGAAATACCTTCATGACTTTTGACTGCGGCAGGAGATCAAATAAGAAACGAGGTTTATCAGATTTGCGTTGCTCGTTCAACTGAAAATGACTGCCTTGATAGCAGGAACAAGCTTGACTTGCATCTGATTCGAAGGCTGACACCGCCTAAAACGTCTACGGGCAATATATTCCTAAAGGCGTATCATGTAGCGCGTTAGAAGCATCTCGACTATGTTGCAGGGAATCTAATCATTTTACCAAAAAGGTTAAAAATTGTATAGCAAATACCTGTTCTTCAAACATTAGGTGACTGTTAACGGTAATGCATGCCCCTATATTTGAGTGTTAATACATTTTCGATTTTAGTCGTACACTTTCTTGCTGGTGAAGTAGTTCCGCGAAGTTCTACTTAAGCTGGATGTTAAGAGATGACACTAATATTCTTTCTATACGATAACCGATATGAGATACACACCCGCATGGTGACAGCAAATAGATTATGTCTTTGCTTGCAGTTCCTACATTTATTTGCTTGTTCCTCTATTGTTTTTGAATGTCGTTGCTGCAGCGCTTCCCACATTCGTACCATGTCTGCGCATCGAAAACGGTAGTTTAGCAACCGGTTTGAAACGCTCTGAGAACAGGGAGCACCTTACAGCGTGAGAAGTGATGAGTCAACGAAGTGTAGACACTTTACTAGCATAGGATTTACCGGAGCTGAACAAATTTAAGTGTGAACACTTTTGTCTAAAAGATGTATTGTTATCCAATTCGACTTTTTCGTACTCTCGTGTTTGTAGACATTGGTCTGTTTTAAAAGAAAGTCTTAATTTTGGCTCCAAGATAGCTTTTCAGCGCTCATCGTCTAAAAATGCAGATTTGGTACCTACGTTGTAGCAGTTGAGGAATCATTCGTACATTTATTTGCGTAGCGGATCTCTGGTGCCTAAGTGAAGGCGCGTATCTATATTCTACTGGTATTTGCTTAACCATGTGTAATTAGCCCGAGTTCTTCAAATACACTTTAGACAGAGCCCTGGCAGCGTTACTTGCAAGTGAAGCTCTTTACTTCGAGAACACAATCTAGCGGACTAGCGGAAAGGAAGCGCATTTGCTTTAATATGCCTAGTGAAAAAAAATGCTACTGTCAAAGCAGTATTTCGAAACAGTCTGGTAAGCAATGTATTGGGCCTTGTTTCCGTTTGTACGCCGCCCAGCAACGCTCAAGCAAGGTAAGTGGACAAATACATATCGAAAGTATATTAATCGTTCTGTCGAAAGAACAGAGCTGCTTTTTAGGAACTTGCACTATCTGTTCGATAATAATTCACTAGAAAGTGCTCTCCTTTCAAACGTTCTACCTAAGTGGGTGACGAGCTCTACGGTAATATTACCGATAGCATAGCTACTAAGGTTGGGTAAGGATGGTACTAATAACAGCTGGAGCATGAAAGGGATGTTTGTTTTGATATTTCACGTCCAACTGACAAAGAATTTATCCGGAAGTCGTATTTGAAGATCATATTGTGGTCGACTCTTTTTTGCGTCTCACTTACGAGCATAATAAGCACGCTACCATGAATAATATAGATATCGTTCAAGTTGTTAGTTATTTCAGTAGTAGTAGCAGTAGTAGTAGTAGTAGTAGTAGTAGTAGTAAGTAGGCTTTCGAGCTTAGGAAGTTTCTCTTCGAGTTGTATACCAGCCGGCTCTATTCCACCTAATTTCAGTTCCAAGTATCGCCATTGATATTATGCTGAATTGAACCTATCAGAAACGGATTTCAAACAACATTTTGAATTTTCACACGCATCCGTGCATATCTAACAAGTTCAAGTTGAGTGAAGCCTCTTTAGATTTGTGCATTGTTTTGTTCACGCAGCTGGCTACTCGACGAGGCCTGCTCCTGAAAACAGTATAAGCTATCTTCGCAAGGGGCAAATTTTATTGCAGAGAACCCTTCGATGGTTTTTATCTTCGAGCGCAGTCGGTATAGTTCTATTCTCTGTTACGCTACTCATGGAAATTATACCGGAAGGTACCCGCATCTATACGAATATTAGTTTTGGCATGAGTAATGGTAATGCGTTTACTGTTTACTACCTACTCAACTTTCTACGCGCAAGGTCAAGTAGATTGTCATATTTCTGGCTTATCGAATAGACCAAGTGGTTTTTAATTAAGCACCATTTTAGGAGTGTGAACATATTGCAAAGACTGTAACTACCTATACCAAACTAGATGAATGTGCTGTCGTGCTGCAGCAATCTATAAATGGAATTAAGGCGGATTATAGATTCAACGATGGAAACTTCGTCCATAGTTCTGTCGTACTATTCGTCCTGTTCGTCAACCCTATTATTTCTAAACCCCTTCTACCTTAACAGGCATGTACCTCATGCGCAAGTATCGCCGAGGACAAGCTCAGATAGACGTTGTGATTCTAACAGATGCATCCTTTATGGTGGTTTTCTTCGTTGATAATAGCAACGAGCTTGCGAACGTACGACCGAAATGCAAAAATATTATTGACTTCTTCAACTCGTTTTTGTACTCTTCTCGCGAAGACATAGTCAACAAAGTATCTGCTTCTGAGGCCTGATATAGCTGCATCGGATTCAAACATACAATAGCTATGAAATAGGTTATGCAAAAAATCGTTTGCTACTGTTTTTATAGTTTGTTAAGAACGGGATGTTGCAAATACTATTGTTCGTCTATCTGACGTAATATTTCGCAGCTGCACGAAGAGATGCCCTTCGTATATTCACGTAATTCCGTTAGGTAGCGGGCGGCCCACGAGCATTTTTCCATTCGACGTTTTATGAATACGAACCAGCTGTTCCCGTTCCCTTAATTTCTTGCATGGTTTTCTAGCGATTTCGATCAATTGATCTTAGCAAGTGCGTTTCTCAACAGCAATGATTGTCTAAAACAGCTATCTGTTCACGGGGTTTATCTAATGCCTACAGGAAACGCCGACGCGACCCTGTAATGGTGGGGTCAGAAAATAGAGCACACTTAGCCTCGTTTCTTGTAGCACGGCAACGACCTAACACATTATACAGTGTTGTATATCACTTTCGTTGGTTTGTGCTTTGTCGGTTTTGTGTATGTATACATGCCCCTGGAGGGACCGATGGTGCCAAGCAAAGAAAATAGACAAAATAAGCATTTTAGAATAGGCCAAAGTGCCCTACATCTAGAAACACTGCCGTGCCACATTGCTTGAGTATAAGTCTTAGTAGGAAGTTAAAGACTGCTGTAAACTTTAGGTACCTCAAGTATCTCAAGGAATCTCAAGTATCTATGACAGCGTGAACAGGAGCGAGAACGCGGTTGAAACCCGCCGTTAATTGCAGAACCTAAACAACGGCGGCAAAGAGCTCGTCCAGAACCGATAACGAAAATGTCTTTGTAACATCTTTCAGCTCGCTACTAGACTCTGTAGCCGAAGTAAAATGCGATTGTTAAATACAGTAAATATTGTAATATATAAATACTTTAGCATCGTATCGGCACCTGCTTTAGAAACTGAATTATAGTTAGTTTGGTTAAAAAAAAAACCTAACGAATTTGTGCACAATACATAAATATATAGTATTTATTACTCTTCAAATATGTATATAAGTTTAAAGTGAACAAAATATACTGCAACAAATATATATCCAGTACTTCCGTTATGATAATATACATCACAAAGACGGCGCTACGATCATAAGCGGGGTTTATCGCTTTTTTCTGCCAAATGATAAAGTGGGCAGTTTTCTTAAAATATTATTTTTCTCATCACTGTTTTAGCTCTTCTGCCAACTCCAAGTCTCTATTAATTCGCTTATTATATTCTGTAGAATAATAATTACCATCATTTATATAACTGCCGTCCTCTCTCTCACATTGTTTCTCACGTAAAGAATTCCTGTCCGTAAGGTTCCGGTGTCGCGCAGACAAAGATCGATGGATTTATCGCTTTTCAGACGACCACGGAAAATTACTATAATTTTTTCTTAAATGACCTACCGGCATAAGAATGCTAATGTTATGTATATCATCGCTTTGTTACATTCTTATGATTTGCGCAAGTTATTTCAACTTTCAGATGGCAGTAGTATCTCTAATGGCTAGTGCACTTTGTCTACTTAAAAACAGCCGAATGTCGGTAACTTTTGTTTTCTTTATGGACATATGCTTATCAGGTATTCCCAGCGAATATGATTTGTCGTCACTCGTTTTGCTACACCCTCGGGTCTCTCGGCGATCTTTGCCATGGAAAAACGCACCCTGTACCCATCGTGAACGCTTGAAAAATTTGGAATCCTCTAATGATCGAAATTTATGATCGGGTATTACCCTTATCATAGTCTTGAATAGAAGAATACAATGAAATCTCGCTCTGAATCTGATCATTGCATTACGTTTCGAAATGTACCGAACAAATATAAGGGTCATATTCTATTGAATAATCTGAATTAATTAGATGATTTTATGAACCGATCAGACTTCTGACAGGTGCTTCTCCAACTCGTGTAGACGCTCGAAAATCTAGATTGAGCGTCCTCGATACCTTTCAATTACTTTTTGGGATCGACAAGTTTTTATAGTACTTGGCGAGAACATTCCAAGCCGTTGGCGCCATGAATCCCTGCAATGATGCACAGAATTAGTGCTTCTTAAGTACTTTTCTTCGAATGAACTTTGTTGTTTTACTACCTTGGCAGGGCACATGCTTCAGCACGAGATTCAAATCAACGGTTTTCGGTTTTGGAGCCGGGAACTTACCTTTTTACGTCACTATGGCGAATAAAGTATCTAATAATAAGTGTTATACCAAACTGGAAAAAAAAGGATAAATATTTGATGTTCAGTGTGGCAGTGTTTAGTATGTCTATGCGATATTCAATGATATACTTCTTCGAGCTATTTGGATATTTTGAACACGATTTATGCGGTACCCAAACCTTTTTGCTTCTGCCGCGTTGCGAGACACCTAGAGATACTAGTTCAATCAGCATAAAAGAATCGATAGCATTAAATATCGCTCCTTTCCAGTATTTACCTGCCGCAAAACTTTGCCCAGCGTATCGTAGTTCTAGCGGTGGGCGCCAAGTAAACTTTAGACTAGTTAACTTCGACAACGCTCCTGAATGCTTCATTAATATTAAATATGGGAACAAGTTTTTTTTTCAACCTAAATCTCCACATCCTTCTATGATTCTCCTTTGAGGAAAGCATCGATCATTCCGAGGTTCGACCCCCCCCCCCCCGCGCTCTTTCCTCAATGATCACTCTGCATTCAAGCCGTATCTTTGATATGTATATCTAGTGGCAATAAGGAATATATCTAAATAGAGTTCAATGCCAACTATTTGTTTACTACAAGTTTGTACTGTCATAACAACAAGATAGTACAAACTATCATTCGTCTAATCGATGCAATATATTTGCAACATGTTTCAATAAACAAACAAATAAAATAAATTTCAGCAAACTTCCGAATAAGTTTGTAAATGAGTTCTGACTTGAGTGACTGTTTCGACTCGAACGGTAGGAGCTGGCTGTAAAATGGCAAAGAATTATCGGTCATAGAGGCATTTGATACGATTCAGGTTTTTGGAAAAAGGTTGTCTGACCATTAAAGGCCGATCAAAAGAGCCCAGCATTCACTTCTATACCTAATAGTCCAAAAAATTACACCGCTCAACCACAAAAGGCAAGGATTTTTTAAAAAAAAACTGAGCTCAAAACGTGTGTCTAAAAGTAACATTAAGAATAGTAATAATTAAGCTCTTTGTTACAAAAACATTAGATAGGTGGCTATCTTCCGTGCCATGGCTAACAAGTGCCAGCGGGGCAACTATCACTACTAAGCGTCCTAGACACCGCAAGACAGATGCATCTACTTGAAAAATGACCTTCAGCTGTGCTTCTGTTATGGGCAGGCCTTGGATATTGGTTTAGGGGCTGTTACAAAGGGCCGCATTTGACTGGAGTTCTTTTTATAGATCTCTGGAACGACAGCGGAATGATATCAGCAGTTTTGGCAGCTAGGTGCTACCCTTTATCACCTTCTTGCACGACAACGCTGAAATTTTTAGCTGCTGTTTATAATTGCCTTAACAAGCTCTCAAAGACGCGCATTGGCGACTTATATTACTGTGTCCTTTTTCCATAATTAGTGAGCTAGTGAAATAAGTTTCTCCATTGCATATTGAAATTGTTCTAAGGTTATGAGCAAGTTGGAATCATTGCTGGTTAAGCGTGTTTACAATTTTAAGTTACAGAAGTTTATACCTGAGGCGGTTCTTTTCCTTCGCGTGCGAGGCCACGCATTTTCGTACCCGAGATGAATTCAAAGTCTTCTTTACGGGATGGATCGAAGAAACACATTTTCTTCTGTTTCTTATCATATGCAGCGACCTGGAAGTATTTATCGACGAGATTAACAAGTTCCATGCCTTCTTGCTTCATGGTAAAATGACGTTTAAGAAGATAGGCACTAGCTTCTTAAAGAGGAACGATAAACTGCTGCCATAAAGATTAAGATCACTTCTTGCTCATATAGATGTATCTTAAAATAGAGCTCATGGAGTAAATTGGACGCGTTGCTACGCTTTTTGTAATGTTCTCTTCTCCTCATTTAGTTTCAATGCAAAAAAACAATCCGACTGGGGTCGAATTGAACTGGCAGGCTCTATACCTGTTCTTAACCTTTCATATCTACGTACATCTTGACAAAACTTTCACTTGTTATCCAAAAACATTCGTTACATGTAAAATGTAATCATTGATTAACAATAGATGCAGGTAGTACGCCGCCAAAGCAGATACCTTGAAAGGAATGATCTCAAGTCCGTGCAAACCAGGTGCCATCGTAAGGACTTTGGCTCCGTGCGTTGGGTCATAGATGTCCTGTTTTGTGTCTGGATGAGGCATTCCGGCTGGATCCCTTCCTACGATGTAGAAGTTTGCCCCGCAGACCATACGAGCCTAGAAATAGTGTTATTAATTTGTATAAGTAGCCCTGTTCCAGTAGACCTGTTTGAGCCAGTATAATACTACTAGCATATCGCCCGATAACACTTGAGCAGACCGAATATCGGTGCACTCCGTTAGGGCGCAACAAGCATTTAGCGGGGTCATTTGGTGCTGACAAACTTCAACTCTGTGCTGAGTCGCCATAGAATAATTACCTTGGCGTGCCATTGAACCTCGGTAGGCCCAGCGTACATCATTGGCGACGGGAAGATGGCAAGCACAGTTTGCTGTTCATCAAGAACGCCTTCTTTTAGGACACAGGCATGTTGATCTATTCGAATGGATAGCGGCACATCATCATCCTTCGTCCACCCTCCCAGCGGGTGCAGCAACAAAACTGGATTTTTATAGCCACGGTTGCATAAGGATGCGTGCGTTTCCTGTGCAAGCCATGCGTAACATACGTTAAACAACGCCACAGAATTGGTAGGCAATGCTTATTTTATTTGAGCTTTCTCTAGAGCTCAAGGAACGAATAAAGCTCAAATAAAATAATCAATATAGGCTCGTCGGTAATCGGATCAAGAACCGTTATATCTCCCGATATAATTTTTAAAAGCGCTTTCATGAGTAATACAAACAGGGCAGAAAATTAAGCTATAGGTTTTTTAATGAATAGTAAATTATAAAATTCTTTACAATGTTGGCCCAACGTATTGGGCGCAAAAATACCTATAGTCGATATTGAGCCTGATAATCTTTCATTGATATAAAATATAGGTTTGATAGAACATCACTTTGCTGTTATTGAAGCTTTATTCATACCTTCATTAGAAGAGCATGTCCGTTGTGAATGGGGTTACGTAACTGGAAAGCAAAGACGGTATCTGCCCCCCGCCGAGAAAATTCCGCACGTAGTTCCTGTGCCACAGCAACAGATTTATCAATGGTCAGCTCGAAGTCACATACTGACTAACAAATAGACAAGCATCTTTGACACAACATCCCCCTGAATAAACATACGAATTTCAAACCTGATTTAATGACTTATCCTTGCTTGATCGTTTTTTTTTTTTTTTTTTTTTTTTTTTTATATGAAATGAACGTTATCTGCGCCTGTTGCATGACTTTTCAGAATAGTTTGCACTACCACCTATTTTTTTTCCTTACCTTGGGTGTCAAACGATACTTGTCAAGACCGTCATTCCATTTCAGCCTTTCCAGCACTTCTAAATCTCCGCCGCACAGCCAATCACCGCTCTCCATAATCATCTTTTTCCACAAACATGAAAACATCCTCGTTATCTTAATCCTTAAAATGTTTTTCGAGATATGAAATAGTTAACACGTTAAGCTATCCCTAATTTCGAAATAATATTTTCTTTTGTTCTCTCGTAACGCTCAGATTCTAGCAGCAGGCCACCTAGATCATGCTACTTTCGAGCCTTTAATATCAACTTTTTTGATAGCTTACGTTTAAGACAAATCTCGATATTTCTAAAATCGGCAAATGGGAAGAAGATTTTTCAGAGACGAAACTTTTTCGCAAATTGTCATCAGTGCTTCGTAAGAAGAACCTAATAGTTTTTTTTTTTTTTTATTTCATCAGCCGCTAGCACCAGGACAGCTCTTGCTGCATCGTAAAAGCTTGAGAGGGGTCAATCTAAGTACACCCTCCCCATCACAGATAATATTAAATATTCTTTTAATTCGCACCTTCAGTTACTTTTACAATAGGTTACAAAAAGAAATTCTGCAAAATATCTATATGGTAAGAGTATACAACGTACTTTGATATACGGATGTCCACTATTGGTCAGACCGAACTGCCTGGCACACCTTTCTTCTTTACGATGAGAGTAGAATTCAGGCTCACGTAGAACGGCCAATGGCTTTCCCTAAAAGGTGTTGAAACAATAGAAACAAACTGAGCATGCCTAAACTATATATAAATCGATTATTGATGCCTGTCGGTCCCTATTAAACTTTGAGACTTAAAGCTCAGCAGTTTCCATTTCAATATTATGTGTGCCATATATCGATCGATCGCTCGCTCGCTCGCTCGCTTGTTAAAAATTTGTCATACAATAATAAAAACCTCACATATAAAAGACCTATGATACAACACCAAAACATATTATCAGTAAGTACTTAGTAGCCCTATATGGTCGTATAGGTGTTCATTTCAGTACTAATAACATAATACCGTAATAAGCATCACTGATACTATTATTGTTTGAGTGTTTTTTTTTCTAATTTTTTTTTTTATAGCTACTGTGTCTACTTAAACAACAAGTCCCGCGGATTTTACAGGTGCTCTTGCAGCTCCAGAATCCTCATTGCGTTTAGTGCTTTTTGAGCTGATATGAACACGAATCTTCAGAGAACTGTTATTGACAGATGTTATTTGAACGCTTTCAATATAGCTAAGTGTTTAAATTCTATAATCTTTTCGTGTAGCTTATTGAAGCCAAAGGCCAAAACGCAAGGCTTAATGGACTAGTCAACAGATAGCCAGAAGTAGGCGTTTTGAAGATCGAGGCAGGCTCCAACATTTCTAGTTCACTAGTCATGTAGCCTTAAAGTGCGAATGCTACGTTGTTCCTTATAGCTTGTTCCAGTTTAGCTTCGAAATGTTTTTCTTCAATGTTATTATAATACGCGTTCATGTATTTTCAGCAAAACCCTCAATAGTATACGCATGCAGATCGTCATTACTGAAATTTGTATTTTTTTCCTTGGTAGTGGTAATCAGAACGTATTGTACATAATGCAAACATTGAAAACCTGAGGGGAACGAACCACACTTGTATGTTCGCCAAATAAGCCTTTGCGGAGCCTACAGTGCATCATTCGTCTTCGAATAAGGATAAAAGAATACCTTGGAAAGTGTTAGGCCATGTAGCTCCACGCTAATGGCGCTATATGGTTAGAAGCTACATGATCAGTGGATATAGAAATCTTAATTTTTGCTCACTTTATTTCGAATTTCTTTCTACCGTAATTCGTAAAATTCTGTTAAGCTGCGCGAGTCTAAGCTTTCAAACGGTCTAAAGACTTCGCATGACGCAACAGCTGTAGCTTTTCTAAGTAGTCCCTCTGATGATTTACTGATCACGCGTTTGCCTACTAACTTTAGCATACTCTAGGCTTTAAGTTGACAGTAGATACATTTCATTTTTCTGGTCCACTATCCGCACCGGTTCATAAAAGCTTGGTTGCACCCCTCAACACTACAATGCGTGTTAATAAATGCAAACCAATATGAACTTGTGCTTCCGCCTACCGCTACTAAAATTTTAGAGCAAAAATTCCATGTTTCCGTATTGTTATTTGAATGTCTAATAAATTAGGGCACAAATGACGACCATTTACTCTTTTTTTCGTTTTTACCACCCCGCTGTTTATCTCTCTAGAGGATTCAGTTAGTTGCTTTCCTCCTTTACGAGTCCGGTGTAATCCTATTCTGCAGTGAATTAAATTTTAGATCGACTTTAGGATAACCCGACTGAACGAGTTCATCAATACCAGACTCGAAACTCGTTAGCTAGAAGAAATACAGAAAAGAGAGAGCGGTAGCCAGTATATAATAAATGTATTTCCTGATTGCATTTTAGTGGAACGCGGCTGTTTTGTTAATAAAAAAAAACGGCCACGATTAACTTGATCATTTTGCTCGTTTAGGCACAGTCATTGTTAGAGTGTCGATTACAGTTAGAAGCAATGTCCCATTTAAATAAGATATACTCGGAGTAAAATTGCATGACTTCCATCTTTTACAACTTTAATTTTTAAAGTTGCGAAAAACCGCTTCTTTGCTGAGCCCACGCTTTCGAATCCCGATGATGGCAGCAACGTTGATATCAAAAGCAAGTTCGGCGTAAGTCGTAAGTTGCGAGTCTATTAACAACTAGTCACTGCATCATTTGTACACGACATCTATACGAGCAGTCAGAAACAAGAAGATTGCCAGTATTAAAATGGGTTGCTTTAAATAATGGTGTTATATATATATATGATTTTTGTAGTACGATTCATTAATTGAAAACAACGATGCCCAAATTTAGTACATATTGCTTTTAACAACAAAACTGCGACTGGCATACTGCAATGTATATGAAACCAATAAAATAAAGGAAATACGCCAACGATGACCCTCCGCTATTTTTCTGTTAACACCATAATCCCTTCACTGTAGAATTTCTGTGGCCTTGAGCATCATCAGATTATAATCTGATGAAGTGTAAAGTTCGTTTTGTGTACTAAAATCTCTTATCCAAGTTCCCGAGAAGCTAAAAACGTATTTAATCTGGCATTTTCATGACGGTGAACAACCTCCTTACACTCACTAGTTCCCATAGATTCTTTCAATGGCCTGTTGTAAACCTCTTGGTTGTTAACAGTAGAAATCCCAGCATAGGATTACCTTGCTTAGCGTTAGCCGATGCTCTAACAAAGTTTCCAGGTGTTTCCCTTTGGCCATGATCTTTTCGCACGTTATTATCCTATATGACCCACTCTCCGTTTTTTCCCGTGATCAACACTTGATTTCATTGATGGAGCGTGCGCTCTTTTGGCATCCAAGTCTTCTGCCTTGTTTTGTCTTCAAATGGTTTAAAACTGTCTTATAGTGGATATTTAGCTCCTTAGTAATGCCGTGTCGGTTTTCGTTAGGTTCTGCAATCATTCGGTGACCTTCTAGTAACTATGGAGAATAGCATCTTTTACAAATATATTTTCTGAACGAAAGCGACAGAACCTCGTTAAGCCATATTTCCTAATAACTTATTTTGACTACAAACAGCGCACACTTTCTCATGGATTTCTATCTGAAATCTGAGTGAAGGCATTCAGACGAATCTGAGCTTTTGCCTATGGCCTAATGCAATACAGTACCTGAGATCTATATGAATCATATCATTGATATAAGTCAGACTGCCTTAGCTCTATCGTAGGCTGGCAGCAATGAGCGCCTCACAGCTATTCAATCCAAGCCCTAAACGTATCTTAGACCACGCTCACATCTGGCGGGCTGCCCTTACACTGCGGCCAGACCTTTTAATGCCCCACAAGTGCAATTCACATCTTATTGCGATCTTCTCGCGCGCGCCGGACGGAATTCCATTGTGTCCAAACCCAATTACATTTTCCGGTTTTCGATGCGATTAAGGGCGTCTTCTCGGCAATAGAATCACACAACAAGGCGTCGCATTATCATGAAGTGAGCCCTCTTCTCGCGGTAGTGCTTGTAGCGACCTGGCTGGTACGAGTCCATGCTTACCCTTGTTTAGCGGTGGATTACCGGACTCGTTATCGGTGGAGCAGAAAGAGACTCCCCCGGCTTTCTCCCATGAGTTGGCACATGTCAGATCCGCGTACGTGCATACAAGCTCTACCCTAAATTCCTTTATCTAAAAAATACCGTGGCATCTTTTTTCCGCGCATCTTGGTGACCCTGACGATAGAAAATATCAGGGCCTCGGCTGCTCGCGAGAGTACGGGCAGCAGCTTTTTCGGTCCAGATAAAGTCTGCTTTCCAATCTTCTTGCAGTACTGCTACCACCGCTACAGACCAGTGCCTCACCGTTTGATATGAGATAGGCACAGGTTCATGATGATTCGCTGGCCCGAAGCCTGAATGGGACTCTGGTCATCGAGCTGTACAATGCTGCCCAGAAAACAAAATTCCAGCTTGGCACTCACAAGCTCGCTAAAAGTTTCGCCAGTTTCTTCCTGAAGAAAGCATTCGTACAGCTTCATTCTGAAGCTTTCCCGTATTTACTCCGCATCGATCTTCTTTTTCTTTTTCTTAAACGTGCCGACTTCACGACCTGATCCGGTAGCGTTTATCATATTGTCGCTCGTATTCGTCTCCTTATTGCTGGGGTTTTCTCTCGAAAAGCTCTCAATCAGCCAGGTATTCGAGCAACTTTTTCGTGTACGTGTATTTATGAATATATTTAAACTATGTAATATAAAGTTGTATGTTGAGACAACTTAATTTATTCAATATCCGTGCATAATTAGGAATAGGTATCATTCTTCGTTTTGAAATTTGGTCGAAACTAGCGCTTGTAGCGAGAAAGGTCCAGATTGCTTTTATCTTAAATAGCTAAATAGCTTATGCTCTGCAGGTAATCAATACAATTTACGGAAGCAGTTTTGTTATGCTATTAACAATATTGATCACTATAAAGGATTTGTTATTACCTGGTATCTCAGCGTAATGGCGCTGTTTGTTGTCAGCCGCTCCTTGTCCTCGGTGCTGACCGGTAGGACGATTGGAATGGACTGATTTGTTACACCATCTTAGTTGACACGAGAAAAATTACCGAATATTAAGCTCAAAGTCAGTGAGTTGAGCGTAAAGTTATCACAGGGTTCTACCGTCTAGAATTTATGCATGTATAACAAGGTAATTGCAGCTCAATTCCGCAGTATCACAGAACCATACCATTAAGTAAGCATGAGAAGTGTTGACACTGAAGAAACTGTTTTTCTCGCATAAAACCTTGTAACGGGGTAGCCCAGCCCTCGCTGAGTACCTGCAGCCACTGAGCATCCACTGTTGTTATCTACAAGTAACACCAAAGAGTTTCTAAGAATTAGCAAGTCATGCTTAAATTAACGGAGGATCTAAGAAACAGGCGAGCATTTGATATACGCTACGAAAACTTAATTTGAAATATTCAGTTTGTAAAATAATCATTTTGGTGTTATGTATCAAGATGTAGCAAGCTTTTCGCAAGCAACTTGGAGACACTTGCTTTTTGGTTTACATGAACGACTACAAGAGTTTCAGAATTGATGGCCATCACATCCATAGGTTCTGGCCCTCATAGAAAAATACGGCTTCGAGCGGATTAATATACCTCAATCGATGGAAGCGATTCAGCCTCATGTCGCACTTCGGCCAATTTGTCAGCTGAAACAAACAGCTCCTGAACCACATCCGTGACGCTTTCGGGAATAATATTCTGGAATTTTTAATTTTAGTTTAATTAACTTATATGCGGCACATCCTTTTCCAAACAGTAAGAGACGAACATGACCTGAAGCCCCGGCTCTGCTTAAATTCGAAGTTGCAATTCAGAAAATGGGTTCACCACTAGCTCCGCTGAACCATCGAGTAACTCACGTTTTCACGCAAAAGAGTTATAACTCTTTGGACACTTTCCTTGACGGTTTCTTGGTCAGTCCGCACCTCAAGTTCCGGGTTTTCTGGCGCTTCGTACGCTTGGTCGATGCCTGTGAACCCTTTGATTTCGCCTTTTCTTGCCTGCTCAGAAGGTCGGAACAAATCTATTGATGCAAGCAACAAACTATGATATCGAGTTGAAATCGTAAGTATTCTACTACTGTGTTCAGAGGAAGATATGACTAATAGAACGCAGACCTTTTTGTAGAGACCTTTAACGTCCCGGCTTTCGCAAACGTCAAGCGGAGTGTTCACGAACACCTCGAAGAAGTTTAGCCCTGCGCGTTTGTGGATTTCTCGCGCAATAGCACGATCCTGCGGTAAGTCAATTAAATGTAGAAGTTATAATATATACAAGAAACACAGAAGATATTACAGTATAAATTAGAGTTTCATAGTCACAATAGTTATTGGCAAAGCTGGAAAATATCGTCGAGTAAGAATCTGTTAGTAAACTATGTACCATGAAGACTTGCATTAAATATATGTGTGTACCCAGCTAAAAAGTCAGAGTGTATGTGCTAAGGGCAGTGCCTATTTTTTTTTTTAAGCACAAGGTTAGACAAGAGTGTACTCAGTGTCCTTAGGCCCTCGTCTCAGGACGACCGGCTGCACGTATGCTCTTACTCCGTGAATAACACAGCGTTAAAAGTTGAAGGGCTTACCTAATTATTTCACCCACTCATGAGTCATTATGAACCTTACACTGTCTGCTAACGATCTAAATATCAGACTTGACCTACTGAGTAACCCAAAACACGCTAGCTACTCTTGTCTGTCTACGACATCGGCTGTAGAGTACATAACAACGTTCGAGAACCATTCGGCAACCTCTGTTGTCGACAACTTCGTTACAAATCTATCTGTATGTCCAATCGAGTTTTTGGAAAGTGGAGACCCACTAAAAGCGAATACATGTTATATATTCCAGTAAAGGAAAACCTATAGGTAAAAAAGACTAATACATTCAATTCCCGTTGGCGCACTCTCCCAAACTAACTTAATGCCCCGCGACTATTGCTCCTCGCATCTGACCGCCATCCGATTATGAACGAAACTCAGGTAGAAATCGGTGCCAGCCACCAGCGCTTACGGAAACCCAGCCAGGGCCAGTAGAAAAAATGTAACGAACTGCGAGGCATGCCCCATCATTAGCCAGCGTTGCGTCCTCCTCAGATGTTTATGAAAACAACTTTTCGACGGAAACCGGACTTTGAACGGAAAAGTTTCTTTGTGAAAGTACATCAGTTGGCCGAGTTACCGCCGGGCGTAATCGTGTCTTCCATGTAATTGCATAAATTCTTATGCAGTTACGTAGAAGACAGGACTAGCACTTAATCTCCGTAAAAAAACTCGGTTCAGACATCAGGATACAAGAAATGATGCCTACTACAAGCAGACTTCGACGGAACGGTGCTTCACCGATTGTGGTCATAACGAACACATCCAAAAAGCTTTCCTTTTTGTTTCTTATTAAATAGCGCTATCTAGTACTTTATCTTAAGGAACGGTATGCGACATGCAGTGAAGTTGGCAACAGAATGAAATCTATCTATTTGAAGTAAATCGCTGCGATTGTCCGTTTCTGTTCTCCGTGCGAAGCTGATCTATCTGAAGCGTCTTTTGGGATCTCACACTTCAGCAAGTAATAGACGTGTCTTCTTGGTTGCCGGCATGTGACTATTTGCCGAAGGACTCACTCGTATGTGGAATAAAAAAGTACGAATTGAAGTCCCAAATTTCTACCTGATTAGAGTGACAACAAACTACAGCTAAATAATTGCGACAGGGCTATCTATCGTCTTGTGACCGTGGGTCCACAGGCTTTCATCATTTCGTGTGCTATAATGATTCCAGAGATAGCTGCCGACGCCGACGATACCCCCGAGATTATCTTCAACATTGTTCAATAATAGCTCTTTCTCGCAATTAGCTTGCACGTTCGTAATCAAGCATGGTGCTATGAACGAATTCTATATACTTTCTTTAGATTTTATAACCAACTTTTATACGCACCTGACAAGATGTGTCCCTAGGTGATGATAATGCGAAAAATGGTTATTATGTTTAATCAATGATTTATATAGCCGATAAGCGAAAGCTTTTTTACTAAATCGTGCTAATTTTCAGCTAATGTCTTTGGTCAAAGTTAGAGATAAAGCAAACCTTAGCGAACGGTGATATAAAGCTGGTGAGGCATACGACTCCACTGTCAGCAAACAAATTTGCTACCTCAGCCACACGCCTAAAAATGACATCAATTATAAAGTTTCGTTTTTATCGATTTTGGTAATAGTTTCAAATAATTAAACAAAAATTATCGTGTTATTTTCAAGTAAAATGCGTCCACGGACTGTCATCATGTCTAAAACTACTGAATGCACTGGGGCCTCACCGAATGTTTTCTTCTCGATCTTTTTCACTGAAGCCGAGGTTCTTATTGAGGCCATGCCGAATATTATCCCCGTCCAGTGCGTAACTAGGGATACCCTGTTTGCAGAGATATTCCTCTATCCCAAACGAAAGAGTCGTCTTGCCCGCTCCTGACAAACCTGATCGGAACAACAGCGGGTGACACACAATGAAGGAATAAGGTTAGTCAATACTTTTCTGTCACATTTCTATAGCAACGATCTGGCGTCCCCCTGGCGTATCCCCAACACTCAGCACAACGGCCAGTTCGCAGTAAGCTTGCCATGAAAACTGGGAGCAAACATACCGGTAAACCAGATGGTGCATCCTCGGAAACCACTCCTTTGGCCAAGAATCGCACCGCGAGTGTCCCGGTTGATTTTATTTAGCTGGTAGACGACGTTGGTTGCCTTCTGGCCCTGAGGTTTCGCCAAATTCAAAACGAATAATTCAATAGTGATTAGATGCTCGATAAATCTTGCGCGGTATAACTGGATTATACCACATAGAACGCAACTCGTTAGATGTTAACGACAAATCGAAAACGCATGTATACTCTACGGGTTGCCTACACCTATGCGAACTGACTATGTTTTCGTGAGAACCATGTCGGTCCATCATTGACGTAACATACCTTTTTCGTTGAAAAGGTCCTCAACGAAATTTTCATGAAGACAGGGTAACAAGAACGTGATTCGTTCCACCAATAACGTTATGATAAGTAATTAACATGAAATAACGCCTACAATCTTTGTTCCCTTTTTAGTGCATCTTCGATAATCTGCCCTCGAATGTTCCGGTTCTGTTCAGACAGCTTCGTCATAATATTTGTACATATAGGAAATACTTTTCTAAACATTTTATCCTTTTGGCACATCCTGCTTTTCAAAATGACCAACTCTCAAAATAAGACTGTTTAGTTCCTATCATTTTGCAAACTCTAGCTTCATTTTCTATTTGAGCTATTACCACTCGGTTCCTGCACGATTGAGCTATGTTCCATTTGCTTGTCCGTTGATTTCGAAGATCATTGTTTGATGTGTAACGATCTCGGCTCCTAGCCCTTCACTTGTTACCAACATTTTTGAAGTTACGTGCGGTAAAATTTTGACAATTCTACTTCGCGTGATCCAATATCTGCGAATCCTCAAGTGTGAGTGCCGTTAACATCTCCTTAGTTCGTATATCTGTTCATTTTTTTTACTCGCTCATACAGACAATAACATAATATAGTTTTCATGTAAAAAAGGATTAAACAACCTCTCAGGACTCGGTCGCACGTGTGCATCAGGTGAAATATGGATGCCTTGTGCTTAAAACGGGTGCTAACTGTCACTGGTATTAATCTTAATAAAACCGGTAACATTTTCTGCTTTGTTATGGGTGTATAGTGCTGCCACCTAACGTACACTATCGGTACGTATTCGGGCACATAATTAGCTTCATCTAGCAGTTGTGGTTGTTGTTACGCTATGATGATGTATAGTCTACCTGCATTTTTCCTCCTCAACTGTTTTTTTGCCTTTCTCGTAAGACTGTGCCCAGGAGCACAGTTTTCTATTATGCAGTTGTTACTCTTTGATTAACACATTACTTAGCCACATATCTGAGTCATACTGTTTTGTTGTTATTTTAACAATTGCTAAATTATAGCTTTAACGGATCCAATATTAACGCTGTGCTCACTGGTAAATCTTTTAATCAGAATTAAACGGTCCTGACTGTTTACACACAGACTGTGTGTACATTGCATTGTATATTCTAACAATTTAGAATGAATTGCGATGCCAGTGCGACCTCGTCATTAAGAGCAAGTACTTCAACGGTAATAATATTCACTTTGAATTTTTCGGAAATAGTAATGGGTGCTCCACTTCGAGTTGGCCGATATTTCCCCTATTGTGATGCCAATTTAGAGCTGGACCATTTCGGCGACAAAATAGATCGCCTTGAGTCCATATGGTTCTGTCGCCATCGAAAATGGTAGATACCTTTTACAAGCTGGATCGTATTATACCGTACACTCGCAAGCGAAAGGTAGTCTCTCATGAACCAGCGGAAGTTGCCATGGCATCAACTACAAACCTTTACTACTTGGTCAACGTCTAACACATTTTAGAACAGCTATAAATGAATAAGGATAATTTATGATCTAACTGAGTGTGTGTGTGTGTGTATTATGTGAGCAGAACAAAAATTTTAAAAGAATTGATATCTCTTCTAAAACCCAAAGCTCTATCCTAGATGGTTGCATCTGCGTTATAGGCCGATCCAAACAGGAACCTTTTTCTAGACTTTTTGACGTCTTTCAAAACCAAATATAACTATTGACTCTGTTTGCGTGTTTATGATAGCACACGTCAACTTCTAAAAGGCGCAACAGCCCATTACCTCAAAGTTCGTTGTAACGGGTTGCATGGCTCGATGCCTGCCACCCACGGCTAACTAAAAATTGCCCCTCATCAGATAGCAAGTTATAGGGCAAAATAAATCAAAATAGACGGGCACACGTTTTCAGGTCTCCGTTCACATGACTAGCACATGGTAGAGTTTTGTCTAAAAGATCTCCAGAGCCAATCCGACGGATCATCTGTTCCTTTGTAATGTTGCAACCGCTACATCATTTACATGCTGCCATTATATAAGTCATTTCATATGTACGCTACACCATGTCTTATTGACAGAACAATATGTGTTAGTACTAATAATAACAACAATATTTTATATCGGTGTGAAAAAGCCACACCATACGTAATGTTTCACACTGTTATACGTAACTTAAAAAATGCTTAATTGATAAACTTTTTTGATCTTATCGTGTTCACTGTTAGTCACGAATCCGATATTGGTAATTAAATACTACTAAAATAATATCAATAGTCGAACGTTAAAACAAAACAATTGTAAGAGAGTTCAGCCTACGTTTTTGAAGGTCGCGCTTGATACCCACCGTCGCACGCACTAGGACTTTCAAGGACTTAATTTCCCGCATGGTTTTAATGCGTAAGGGCTATTAGAACGTATTAAAAATAGTAGCGGGAAAGAGCGAAACTTCAATTTTGTTATACGAACCAAGTGTAGTTGCACTAGATGATAATCAAACGGGAAGAAACTATGCTTAATGTCAAACAGCTGTTACAATGAATGGGGTTGGCAGCCTCACGATTAGTCGCTTTACCTCTGAGCGCAACAGATCCGCTAGTATCCAAACTCTTTAAATCGGCGTTTCCACGCGCTACATAACGTACCATCAATACGATCCAAAGACATGCCCTTATTGAATACTGATCAAAGACCGTTCGCAATGTCGGACACGAACGGAAAGCTTCGAAGTGGAATATTTACGTAAAATCACAACCTTAACTTTCCGAAACTTTTGTTCAGCCGAAAAAACACTTACCGGCTCCGGTCGGGGCAGTTGTGCAGGTTTTGCGCTCATTTCCAGCTGTTTTGGTCCGGTCAAAGTTTCAGGAATCGTAGAGCAAATGCAATTTCAAATATGTGATAAATCCTCGCACACGTCACACAGTACAGTAAGAAGTGCCGAGAGAGGGCGCTATTTAATGATAGCAAATTCTCTCATTCGGTCTATTATGCCGTAATCTACATCAACGGCTTAGTACTAACCTATTTATTTTCAATACGTCAACGCTCATCTTGCGGAGACCCGCCTTATATAACGAAAGCAACACAAGCGCTCTAAAAATATAAAGAACAAATCTAAATCACATAGCGAAAAACCGTTCGAAAGCTGTTTGGAGGCGGTGATACGGCCATGATCACTAGCTATATATCGCAGCGCTATTGCTAATAGTTGTACCGTATTCGAGTGAGAGAAACAGATAGATCACAACGCGTAGCAACTGTGGTGTCCGACCTCGGCGTATACAGCCGGCCAATAAGCAATAAATAAATAAACGATTCCAAATGTGTCGCGGCTAGCTTAAAAGGTATTTCTATGATTAACGTGTTGCAGATTATTGTTATGAGCCGCCCAGTTCGGTACCTACCGAACAATTGCCAGATGGAAGCCGGCACCTATGAGTTGTCAGGGCGCGGTGGAGGGCGCTTCCGTCGTTTCAATGAACAGCTGAGCAAACACGGGAAAGGGGGGTCGAACCTAGCTACAGCCATTATCTCGCAGCCGCTCACAGCTGTGCCCGCCCCTTTAACAGATATCTACCGAGCAGTAAGCAATGAAGCCGACCCCATGATGATGGAAAGGGAAACAGTGGGAATATTTGAACTAATGGCGCCAATTCTAGTCTCTGCATTATGAAAACTATGCACGGCAATGAAATGGGAATAAAGTATCATAGTAGAAAACAAAAACTTAAGGCAATTGGCAATAAATCAATAAAGAGCGAAAACATGCACTAAATAATAGCAGGGCAATCGAATGAATTAAATCGATTACAAATACAAAGTTCAAGTTTTGACATCAAGACTAAAAAACTACCTCAAATACAATACGTTAGAAGTAGCACACGACACAAACATATGCGTAGATGCCGATGGATTGATTGGTGGCTTAGATTATGATATAATTAGCTAAAAATAAATCGTATGTTGTTTCTTCGTGGTTACAACGAAGTCAGGGTCAGGTATAATGTTTGTGTCAGGGTTGGCCCGACTTACAGCACGGGTGACCAATAGCGTCTATAAACGCAGTAATTATAATACGGCTGGAAAGACAAGCGCAGATCAGGGAAAAACACTGCATATTGTCAATAGGTGCTATAAACTGAAAAAACTAACCAAGATAATATCAGATGGCAAGTAACCAGAGTTAAAAATAATTTACTATTTTTTTATGTACCTTATAGTAAAAGCTTAAACAAAGCGACCGGCTTTCAGGAGGTTTCTTTTCATAAAATTCCTGTTTAATATTTCAGCAAAATAGAAATTCATGCTAAAAAAAATGTCTTAAAATATGCAGGCATACACAGTAATTCCTCTGAACTCGTTCTAGTCCTTCGATGTTTGCATTCAGATGCTACGAAGACGTCAAACGTGACAGCACACCTTCTGCATTAATTCCACGTTGGTCTTCGTCCGACAACTAGGCGTACTAGCAAATATGTTCCGATCCAATCGTTTCGCCTCTAGATCTAAGTAAAATAACACGCTAATCGCTCACAGCGGCGACTCAATGACATTTAAGAGACCATTTTACCCTGAATAATTTCAGCTATAGATTTAAGTAAATACCACGCAAGTAGCATAGACAAAAAGGACATATCAGCCGTGTTTTAAATGTTGCTAGCAGAATGCAAAAGGATTGTTGGAGGAGGAGTTGGTTGGCAGGCGCAGGCACGCACGCGCGCGCGAAGTAGAATAGGCCATCAGATATACGATCAAATAAATAGACGATGTCTTTCTAGGTGAGGCAAAGGTCGTTTTGTGTTTCACTGTTCGAAAACAGAGCCGCTAGCCAAAGACGTCTCAACATTCATCCAATCTATTTTCGACTAGAGATTGTTTGTTCTTCTCTTTTGTTAGTAGGATTTTTACTTCTTCTGGAACAACAGTTGCCTCGTGTGCCTGTCGGTCCTATCGTTTATGACGCGCAGCGGTAATGCAGTCGACACTAATCAACCTTGACTAGCAACAATCAAGAAGGGAAGTCTTCGGGTAGAAAGGACAAAAAAGCGAACACATACATTTGTTTTAATTTCCCCATTGATTTTAAATTTAAAATCTACTTCACAATAACAGATAGCTTAATGGAGCCGCAAAAAATAGTACATTTGATTGACCTGTCACTGCTGCTACTGTTAGAAATAAGCAGCCTTTGAAATTCGTGTTCAGTGTTCTTCGGGTGATAACCAGGTGAAACTTCTTGTCTCTTGAATCAACCGCAGACCCATTTTGCCAGAACGCTTTACAACCTACAGCTAAGCAAAAGATGGACACGCCCCACTTCCATCAGTAGGGCTACACTCCATTCTGGAATCCAACTATTGAATCACCCGAGTCTGCGCCAACAGCTACATACAATTTACGCGACCGCCTTAACTAGCGCAAGCTTCTTTACGTTTATCTTGCCTGTCACACAGCGCATGTTATGATTGTAGAGGCGGGCTGCTTAAACGTTCGGTCGATCTTTATTATTTTTTCAAGCTGAACTTAAGCCTTAATGGATGAAAGAAATGTTGGGTGGAAGTTTACGTGATTTTTTTGTTTTAAACTTCTAGGGAATTTTAGTGCAGGTTAGACAACTTCAAACGGCATTGTGCCCGTACTGATTTACTTACACAGGCCTCGTAGAGTAAGTTATCAGGATCTTTTATCTCTGCTATGATTAATAAACATTCAGCCATGTTAGGCGAGGATATATATGAGTCAACAGAAATTTGTCGGTGTGGATATATTTCATTATTTTTTTTGGCGTACATCCAAATGTGGTACGGATTTTACTCAAGCCCTCTATCCAGATTCGTACATAACGTTTTTTAAAACAATCGGGATGATATGTATCTATTTGTCAAGCGCCTTTCTCAAAACATATGTTTTTTATAATCTCATATGGTTCGAACTTTTTAAAAAATCTCCTCTTTAAAAAATGGCGCCGGCGCATAGCGCAAACAAGTTCAAGTCCGATTTATCTTTAGACACAAATAACAGAGTGCCGTTTGGATAAAAGACGTTTTGCATCATATTAATAATGATAATCATAAGACTGTCCGGGTTCTCAACGACCTCCTGTTTCTGTTTGCTATTTCTTCGATCTCCGATTTTGTCGTTATGGTCTAGGTAGCCTTGGCTTAATGGTTTTGCGGTTGTCCTTCCAAGTGCGTTATGTCGTCAAAACAATCGCATTATCTTCTGGGATCTAGGTATGCAGTTCCGGTGATTACCGTAGTAGCCAGTGATTGTAAAGGCAAGAGCAGCTAAATTTTACCCGAGTGCTACCCAAATTGTATGAACAAGGTCAAAAAACTACGACAGCAAAAATAAAGACGAACTCTTCCCTTTAATTGGCTCAGATAACTCAAATAAAATTCATTTGATATTAAAACGCGAGAATGAATTATAGTATAATTAATCTTTAACAACGCTTGAATAAACACTTGTGCTTTTTCTTTTCAGCTAGTCCGCCTTGATGCAGAGGTTTTCTTGCCTATGACCGATTTTAGGTCTTCAGTTGGACGATGCTGCTCGTATCTGTCCTATTCAAACTCTCCATTAAAAACATTACAATGTGTAATACCTAATCTGACCTACAATATTAGCGTAATGAAAATAATTCAGCGTTTTTAAGGTGTCTTGACGTTTCACGGAAGGTAAGGTATTATTTTAGATGTACAACATTGCGATACAGACAGATACATAACAGAACGGTTTACATGTACTAAGGCGTCAACCGGTGTATTGACATTGACCGACTAATCATATTAGTAGAAGTGTATTTGATATATTGACTAATACATTGTTTGGCGTTAGATCGAAACGCTGATTTAGCTCATAGTGATGGTTTCCTCGGTTTGGACGATAGGTTTACGAACGTTCTCTCTGTTTCAGTATTTCTTTCGTTTCTTTTTTTTCCTATTTTGCTTAGTGTGATCTATAGCGAGGGCAAAACAGGCAACAATTAGCATCAGAATAGGCAACAACTGCTTCGAAAAGTTGAACTGGGATAGAAATAGAAAAGGATACTTCAAGACCATCGAGACCCCAACATGTACATGCGCCTGATTGCGTAATTAACTCTTACTTTATATAATTCATTTATTAGCGAACTCTACATATATATTTTGGTTGTAGCGGTTCGCCAGGGGGCGACCTAATCTGGGTGGACTGAGTAATTGCATCACAACTAAAAACCCTGCTATTACATTGGCTCAAATATTGGCATTGGTAAATATTATTACCAGACATTGTTTATCAGGAAATAACGAATAATAAAGTATTACTCTTATTATTAAGGTTAGTAGCTGTTTGTCTGCTTATCGTGCCTTTTGTAACCCTGTCGAAAAGCCCCATAAAAATCTGGTAAAGTTTACTCCAGTTAAACTTCTAAGGGAAAGCAAGTTTTTAAGCCTACACCCAACAATAGGTAATGCTGAAGATCTGTTCATATATAATGAATTATTAAACGAGCTAAGTGCTGAATAGGCCAAACGTATGTGTTCTTCACCTGTTTACTCATTTAGCTACCATTATTAGTCTATATCAATATATCTATCAAAGTATAAAGTAAGCTTACATTATGGTATTGGTAGTTCACGCTGTTGATCATCTTGTTCGTTAACTAGATGTCCTATGAGTGGTTGAACGGCTTTTGGAGTCTGAGATTTAGTTTGTCTACGACTCAGGTACAAATGGTGACTCTTTTTTTTCGAGTTTAGGTTAACTGCTATGGCACATTGAAGCGCGTTGATAATGCACCTCGTGTTCACTGAAGCTGTTCTGCCAGCGTTACTGTGTCCTACTTGTACAGAAATCAGTTTACTTCTGATACGAGGCTCCGTTCGAGGTTTGTATTGACCAGGTTACAGAGATTGTGAATTTTTTTTGATACGGCCACTTGAGCTTTTCGCAGTGTTGTCCACAAAGAAGAAACAGGCTCTATGAAAACTATGACCACCAGAAGCAGTATTTTATACTGGCAAATAGCTGATACCGCCGCTGTTACGGTACGAGTGAAGATAGGGGAGCTGCTGCCATTAGATGGCAAGTAGCTGCAATAGGAAGGTAGCGGTAATGGCAGTAATAGTTTTTCCTTCTGCCAATGCCAACAGAGCGACCCAGAAGCACAGGTATCAATTGTTAACGCGACAGTGGTACTATCGTTAATAGCGGCCCTGGCGGGCTTCGGCAGCAGTACTCTAGTAGTCCCGCAATAGTCCGGACGGCGGGGTTGCTTTGACAGCGCGGGAATACGGCGATCTTGACAGGCGACTGAGCGGCAGAAACGATCGACTTAGAAAGCCGCACGGGGATCTCCTCTCCACCGGTGTTTCTGTTGCAATTAGGACACGCCATCTTACCGGGAGAGGGTGCCACCTTTTGTGGAACGTCTTTACCAGGGACGATCTTACAGTCTATCGCCAGAGTTGCCTAGGAACGACAGAGGACAGGATGCAGCTGGTAAAAGAGTTACCAAACAAGGCAATAGCTTCCTGGTAGTAAGCTCTTGCTAGGATACCGGCAGCGCTGGAATGAATATGTTAAAGCGATGTTCAAATCCATTACGAGTACCAATTTGTGTCATCGTACCATTGAGCTTCAGGAAGCCTTCCGAACTTGTGTGGTCGACTTCGTTAGATCTTAGATAGACAAATTCTGCATCGCTTTTCGAGATGCCTCTGTTTTTTCCGACTGCAAGTAATTTTCTACCAGGACTAAGCCCACTGCTTGAGATCGGCTGTATCCATAACGATAATGCATACATATACCATATTTAATTTACGTTTCCATGACCAGGTCTATTTGTAGGTTGTTTTACATGCATTTTTTCAATTGACTTGGTCCGTTTTTTAATATCTACCGCTTAGAGTCCGCAGAAAAATACTTATTGAAATTAGTTAAACAATAAGAACTTGAATGGTGATTTGAGTAAGCACACCCTTCTGCTGTACTTACGGTTTGGCCGCTTGCGATCCAAATACAATCTGCTACCGCTGCTTAATGTCAAGAAATACGCTGACCCCCCAAAACGATGTCCATGGTATTTTGTTTGCTGTAAAGTTTAAACGAATGTGACAGTGACCAGCACTTAATAGGATTTATGACAGTATGGACCCGGTATAGAATTTTGTACGTGCTTAGCGCGAAAAAAAAAATGTATTCTGTAGCGCGGCCTTGGTTAGTGATAGTTACAAACAGAGCAGAAGTACGAGCGGTGCATGTTTGTCTTCCATTACATGGAGAAGCATGTTTATAGATATCACCAGATTCGAGGTGAGTTTCGTTCTGTGGTTCGGCACCTGTCATAAACGAATCAGCAAGTCGGCCTGCTTTGTTGTACATGCGTTGGTAACGCTGTCACTACGTAGCTGTCCTTTTGATCCAGGATCTTGTAGTTGGCGTAGCTATACGAGACAGTCCCGTTTCTTGGTTCTTATAGGATCTCATACTATAGTACTCCTTCTGTCCTCATTGGAAAATTTCCGTCTGTTTGATTGAGTCTCTGAGTGCCGTCGCATCCAAAAACTCGTTTTTCCTCTTCACTTGCTTCGTCCTGCGTAAGATAGCTGGCAACGTATCAACACAGAAGTCTTTAAAAACTCTCTTGCAGACCCATTTCAATGTCTTTATCAGGGCGGCGTAGTAACCGAACAAAAGGATACAGATCGTATCCTTTTGTTCGGTTACTACAAATACCAGAACTAAGCGCAACCTTCGTGCGAGTTTTGGAGTCCTCAATTAAAGAATTCATTATCGAATAGTGATAATGAGAAGAAGGATTGCGTGTGCGTACAGCTACAATAGGTTCCAATTTAGGGAAGTTGACATTTGATTTTTATAGTGTTGTTCCTTAATTGCTCATTTGATTTAGTAATGTCGCTACTTTACTTACCTGTAGAACTTACAATTAGTTTATCCGAAGGACGAGCTTCTATATCAGACGCACTAGGTAGTCGACAAAAATCGCTCCATTCTAGTTCCACTATATGAGCTTTCGGAGTGAATGCCCAACTAGGCCTTATCATAGAAACAAAACGCAAATGTTTATTGAAAATAGGTGGAGCGTCAGTTGACTCGCGTTTGTTCCAAAAGGCATGTTCTTCTTGTAAGCGTTCAATGAGAAATTATATAAACGATTATATTTATTCAAGGGCTAACCAATTCCCAAAGATGGGTGACGTTACAGTTTTTCAAAACAGACATTCTACGTGATATTAATTACAAAAATCCATTTTTATTGTGGCAGTGTGGTCTGAATGCGATACTAGCTAAAGGTGGACAGAAACTGCCCTATGCTAGCCCAGAGATTAGTGGCTGCCATAGATAACAATTAACAGCATATATATATATATATAAATTGGCAAATTATCGAATATTAGTAAAAAAAACGCATGGTGCCGCCGCATGTAGCCGTCACATGCCTCTAGATTGGTGCGATAAAAAAGATTCTCTACAGAAAAAGATCAGCGTAATGGTACCGCCACTCGCACGTCTGTCTACTCGGAGCAGCTGTTTCTAGAAATGGTACAAACGAATCAAGCCACATTTGCTGACTGAGACGTATAGACGACTGAGAATACGTTTTCCATTGAATTTCGCTAAGCCTAGCCCGCTACTTCATGAGAACGATCCGGCAACACCGACGCATATGCTCCCGGATAAGGTGATTCCATTCCTATTTCAGGGTAATACGACCATTTTTTTGCACATGCCGACATCTAACTATTACAAATATTCGCGTTTAATACTGTCGCCGTAATCACTGCTACGGAGCCGATCAGTCTCGAACGTGTGAACGCAGAAGTTACCTAGCCTTTCTGTTCCACTTAGCAAAACAGAATATAATACTCACTGAGTATCTAAGCACATTCGTTCACACTTAAATATATGATAATAATAATAACAAGCAATAATTAAGTATATTACGCTTGTCTATCATATGATCTAAATTAATGATAATGTTCCAGTGCGCAAAAAGTCTCTAAATAGATGGTTTTATTGAATAACATATACGGCTAATAAATATAAAAGAAAAAAACGTCACAGCTCTCTTGCATCTCCTCGACGGTTTTTGACGATCTCTTACCATAGGTTGTCAATAATTGGTAATGAGTTATTCTGTGAAGTAGCCGGGGATAGTTATATATGTCTGTGTTTTTAAACAACACAGCGTTCGTTGCGTTACTTAAACCCATCCGGTGAAACGGATCAACGCCAACGATTACTTGATACGTCCTTACAACTCAAACTTAGTTCGTTATCAAGTTCACTACAACTCAACTTAATTTAGGGTCTCAAACAATTTTAGGCAAAAACTATTCTAATGCCCAATGATCTGCCTAGTGAATAATTATTCTATCGATTACCAGAATATTGCTATTTCTCTATGGGGCATTTTATTCACGTATCTCTGCTGGCTTACGCAGCACTCGTCTTATAGGACTGATCGTGTACAGAGACCACGGAATAACCTCAATTTAAACCCATCGCTCGGCACAGCGTGAAGCAATTTAGCCGTAAAAATTTATAAACTATGCTGTAAGTTATCCAAGTCAGAGACAGCAGACGCTTATAAAATATGTATATATATATATATATATATATATATATATATGTATAGATCGAGTTTTTAAAAAATATACATAATTTGAGTTGCCGCTCGGGTGAATATACCACTGGTGACTTTGGACTATTGATTTAGCAATTATTTCACTGCAGCGTTCGTTCTTAGCTATGGCTCTTAGATACTTCACTGCAGTCTTGAAGAAAAGTCCATTGGCGTCAAGTCTGGGGAACATGCTGCGCCTGGGTACGGGACATTTTTGTTCGTTACCTATTTGGACGGTCTTCATCAGGATACATTACAATAGGGCGCAGGTGTTCCCACCGGTTAGAAGTAAATTTCGCCATCTTTACCAAAGTTTGCCCGAATGCGTAGTCAAGCCATCTTGCAGTAAAGTCAAGTAATCGGCACCAGGCGTCACATGGTCAAAAAAAATTATCTCTTTTAGTAAAACATTTTTCTTGAAATGCTCTGAAAATTAACTCCTAATGAATTTACATAATGTTTCTTCCTAACATGTTGATTTTCAGTTGCCTAAATACTGTACCACTATATTTAGATGCGGCTTCATTGCTCCCAATAATCTTTTCCCAAAACTGGGAAAATATTTTTCGCAAAATTGTTATTTTTCGCTAAATGTCATTTTCATTGCTAGCCTGTGCCATTGAGGAAAAGTAGGCTCAGGATTGACCTGCTAACGCTAGGCCTAGGCCTTGTACTAGACGTTTTTGAGCTGGTGAAAATCGCTGCTCTTCTCAGTCTTCCCAAATGTTGTCGATAAATACCTTGAACATCCGATTGGTAGCTCCGCGTAGTTGGATCCGCCTGAAACCTCCTGCGATATTGTCTGTTTGTGCTTCTGTTATAGTTTTTTTTTTACTTTCAAACGCCTTTTGAAATGCATTTCTTTTAACTAGAAACTAAGCTTGCTTTACTGAATGTTTACAAAAAAAATCAAATTCAACAGTTCATACACCTTTTGGGACGTCCCATATATTGAACTGCTATGGACGAATCAGGCGGACTTTGAAATTGAGACTTTTCAATTACGTGTCGCTAGCGGAGGAAATTCGGTGACAAACACTCCAGTCTTCTAGAAACGCCGCAAAAGTTTAGCGGCAAGTTTTTGTTCCTCGAAAGTCCATCGAAGATTTCTGGAAACATTGGGCAACAGGGCCTTAAGCAAAAGCACAATAAGTTACTATTAATCCAAACACCGGAAATCTGGAGATTTAGTAAGATGGATTATCGTGAATTGTGTGACAAATTCTATTCAATAGAAAATCCACCTGCAGTATACGATAGCCATAGGCAAAATGTATTTTCGATCTATTAGTAAATATTTTAGTAAATAGAAACCAAGTTTGGTGGCAATATCTAAGTTCGGCTGTGAAGAGATAGTAATATTTTCAGTGGATATCAGAAACAACTGTTACTATAAGATATTGAAAATGAAACAATTAATGGAGCCCGCTATCTTAAGATTCTGAAGACTCTCGCGGATTATTGACACGCCAACTGAAAACACACGACACTTGATGACCACACCGCTTTAATTACTTCATTGATATATGTAACGTTGCCTTCAAATTTCTTCTTCTTCTTCTTCTTCCGACCTTTCCAATGCTCTAAAAAAGGCAACTATTGGGTAAACATATACCAGTATCGATTTACTTTTTACTACTTATAGGAAGGAATGTGAATAGTAGGTATATGATTGTCCAGAACTTGCAGGAGCGCTGGTATACCTGAGTAAAAAAAAAGGAACACCTCCAGTACATTGTAGAAAAATCGTTATCATTTAACTTAATTAACTTAAAGTAGTTATCCTCCGAATGTGCTTCTGGCAATTTCATATACATATAGGATTGCACTCGCACGCGGGATGGCTTGTCCCTATATTTTTGGGTTGAGGAGGTGTGTTTTAAAAAGAGACAAGAATACAAGATTTGTTAACTTTTGATTTGTCTACTTTGCTTTACAGCCCTATGACAAGCGAGAAAGCCCGTACGAGGGAACCTGACTTTGTTTCATATACCTTTAATGCGTTCAATGTAAATTCCCGGTTACTTAAGACAGAATATAAGCCAAAATAATTAAAATCGGAAACAGGTATTCTTCTTGTTTTTTTTTTTTTTTTTTTTCTTATAGAACATACCTTACCCGTACGTGGAAAAGTATTCAGAACTTCAGAAGTAAATGATTTAAGAGATCCTTTTTGTAAGTATCATACTTCCTTTTACTGCGGACAAAAATAGTTTTGATTCAGTGTGCCGCAATTCCACGCAGACGAAAATCTAAAATGTATATTAACAAGACAAACTTAATCTTAGCTTAATTTGTAGCGCACGATTTTATTGTTGATTTGAACTGAGAAAACACTGACTAAAAACGTCATGAACGCTAGATAGACATCTAGCTAAAAGAAATCATTATACTGAGTTGGTCGCCATAAACTAGTCATGTTCATGATTACGGTTGAGCCTACGGAAACGAGTTGAAATTCAATGGTCGGCAGAAGTTGTAACCAAGAAATCCCAAATGTGTATACAAGTTTCGTAGATACGGGCATATAGATAGCACGGCTCAACTCGTGAACTTCAACAGTAACCATTGTGTCGGGTATCACAGAGATTCGTCCCTGCTCTGCGACACGGACCACATCACCCATGGGAGTTATGCGGCAATCTAACGACCAGCAATCTCTGGGCTTTTCTAGGTCATTAAGCCTAGATGCCTTAGTTGTTATTCTATAGTTCCTGGCTTTTATTGCGCTACCGGAAAGTCTTCGAACATCGAAAACTAGATGCCCACATAGTCCGTTCCTTAGACGGTATTCAATGTAATTTCTGACCAACATGTCTTCCCGACTAGGAGTAAATTTTGCCCCCACTTCGTAGTACAGGCTATATTCGTTTCGAAGTATTACAAGATGGCCTTCTACCTGTAATATAATAGACAACGTCAACCGGGTTTTGTAGTTCAAATACGCTTAACCTGGCTTATTCACCACCATACGCGAATCATTTGTAGAAGAATAACCAAGGATCAGTGGATCCTTGATGACTATAGTGATAACAATACACTTGCTTATTCTGTAATACACAATAATATAAACACTTTTCTGGCTTGTTTATCGTAACAAACATCCGCTTATTCTGCTAATGCAATAAAACAAACCTAGTTTCCCCTAGAATAAGACAACAACTCATGATGGAAGAATTATGTCCCGATTCAGCTTATGAATCGAGGTAAAATTTCTTCCAGTATCTTTATGCTGAATATACCCTCACCGAGGTTCTCGATTAATTAAATCGACGACCTATGCGATTGTCTTATTACATAGCTTCCGAAGAATTTAACAAAGGTTTCCATATGCCAGTATAGAAGATCCACAATACAATTTAAGCCGATAGGTTGAAACGTTAGTCAAGAAGGGTACAAAAGACATTGTGTATAATGGTTCGCTTTTGCAGTCTGATGCACGTACTAGACGACGTTTTCGAAACTTGGTTATTCAATCTCCACCGGCCCGTCTGCGTAGAGTATCGGTGGCCTTCGTTCGACTTCTTCGTCCTGATGAACTTCCGGAACTTGTGGTCTACTGTCAGTCAACCATGTACATTTTCCCATTTTTTAATGTGTGTAGCATGTTCAAGCAAGATTCCGATAGGTCCAATTGTATTGACATAGCTTCAATTATAATTCGTACTAAAAGTTACTGAGTACGTGAAAAATACGTATTTACAAATGACTTTCAAGTGCTTTAGATCCCCAAGTGAATTCGCGGTCGAATCAGATGGCGTTATATTGCATATAAATAAACCGTGTTGTCTCAGCATCGCATTTATATCTGCTTTCGTATTACTGACAGTGTCTATATCATCACAATTTGAGGCGTACAATTGTTATCTACCGGCAACAGGATTGGGTCACCGTCGTGTAAAATATAAAAATAAAAATAGTATTTTGTTTTTATTTTTATTTGCTACCCAGTTCGAGCATGATACGCCAGATTCTTAATAGTCCAGTAAGTTATGAGAATTACTTTGCTGCAGCCCCACTGAATTCTCGTGTTTAAGATAAACTGTTGAGTGACGGTTAGCCGTTCGACTGAGTCCAAACAGCTTTCCTTTGAGGGTCGCTGAAAGCTTGAGACCGTCCTTACCCAGGACGCTTCAAGTATGATTCGAAAGCTCGTCTGTTCAAAGTCATAGCTTTATATCTTAGATCGTTCAATATAAAATTCGAAAAACGTAAATGGTGCGACCAAAATCAAAGCAATGCCCAAAACGTTCCTCGTTCAAGACAAATTAGTTATGTATAAGATATGTTTCATGCATTGTCTTACCTCCCAGACAGGTGATCTCTTAAGTCGGCTTGATGTCGGGTTTGCGGGATAAATTTCGTAGGGATCAGGGCGAAAGGTGTCCTTTCTACATAACTCGACTTCAGTCCTTACACGTCCTAATAGTACTCTGAGAAATTCCAAAAAAGGAGCTATAGGAACACCGAGCGGAAGCCGTGGTGGCGGTGGTATCGGTGCAAATGGATCCGGTAAGCCCCCTCCTTCTTTTTCTTCAGCAGCTTTCCCTTCCCTCCGACTTCCTCCAGGCCCATAAGTTCCTCCCTCTCTGTGTTGGCCGGTAACCAATTTTGGTGACGACTCTGCCTGTTTTCCTGGTAACAAAAAGTTCGGCGTTAGAGTTTCCCTTTCGCGCTGCTGTCGCTTCCGCTGCTCTTCTTTTTCGCTTCTTCCTTGAGCTTCCGCAAGTCGATCTGTAGGCTCATTTAGAACTCCCTGTATTAAGTCATTTTCTCGTGTTACCAAACTATCTTTTTGAGACGTATCTTTACGTTGTTGCTGTTGTTTCATTTCTAGAATTTCCTCTTGCCCCTGTTTACGCCTCCTTTGCGCGTCATTCTTTTCTTTTAGTCGCTCCTCTTCTTTTGGCTCGTCGGGTTGTTTATTTTTTGCCCTTTGCTCCGCCGTCGCTTCTTCTTTGGCCTCTTGAGTTGCCACCGACCCTTCTTTAGCCTTTTGCGTTGTTACCAGCCCTTCTTTAGCCTTTTGCATTGTTACCAGCCCTTCTTTAGCCTTTTGCATTGTTACCAGCCCTTCTTTAGCCTTTTGCATTGTTACCAGCCCTTCTTTAGCCTTTTGCATTGTTACCAGCCCTTCTTTAGCCTTTTGCATTGTTACCAGCCCTTCTTTAGCCTTTTGCATTGTTACCAGCCCTTCTTTAGCCTTTTGCATTGTTACCAGCCCTTCTTTAGCCTTTTGCATTGTTACCAGCCCTTCTTTAGCCTTTTGCATTGTTACCAGCCCTTCTTTAGCCTTTTGCATTGTTACCAGCCCTTCTTTAGCCTTTTGCATTGTTACCAGCCCTTCTTTAGCCTTTTGCATTGTTACCAGCCCTTCTTTAGCCTTTTGCATTGTTACCAGCCCTTCTTTAGCCTTTTGCATTGTTACCAGCCCTTCTTTAGCCTTTTGCATTGTTACCAGTCCTTCTTTAGCCTTTTGCATTGTTACCAGTCCTTTTTTGGCTCTTTTCTTGGCCACCGGCCCATCTTCAGCCTTTTGCGTTATCACCAGCCCTTCTTCAGGCTTTTGCGTTATCACCAGCCCTTCTTCAGGCTTTTGCGTTATCACCAGCCCTTCTTCAGGCTTTTGCGTTATCACCAGCCCTTCTTCAGGCTTTTGCGTTATCACCAGCCCTTCTTCAGGCTTTTGCGTTATCACCAGCCCTTCTTCAGGCTTTTGCGTTATCACCAGCCCTTCTTCAGGCTTTTGCGTTATCACCAGCCCTTCTTCAGGCTTTTGCGTTATCACCAGCCCTTCTTCAGGCTTTTGCGTTATCACCAGCCCTTCTTCAGGCTTTTGCGTTATCACCAGCCCTTCTTCAGGCTTTTGCGTTATCACCAGCCCTTCTTCAGGCTTTTGCGTTATCACCAGCCCTTCTTCAGGCTTTTGCGTTATCACCAGCCCTTTTTCAGGCTTTTGCGTTATCACCAGCCTTTTTCAGGCTTTTGTTATCGCCAGCCTTTTTTCAGCCTTTTTCGTTGCCACCAGCCCTTTTTCAGCCTTTTTCGTTGCCACCAGCCCTTTTTCAGCCTTTTTCGTTGCCACCAGCCTTTTTCAGCCTTTTTCGTTCCACCAGCCTTTTTTCAGCCTTTTTCGTTGCCACCAGCCCTTTTTCAGCCTTTTTCGTTGCCACCAGCCCTTTTTCAGCCTTTTTCGTTGCCACCAGCCCTTTTTCAGCCTTTTTCGTTACCACCAGCCCTTTTTCAGCCTTTTTCGTTGCTACCAGCGCTGCGTCAGACGTTTTCGTTGCTACCAGCGCTGCGTCAGACGTTTTCGTTGCTACCAGCGCTGCGTCAGACGTTTTCGTTTCTATCAGCGCTGCTTCAGACGTGTTCTTTGTCACCAGCCCTTCTTTAGCGTTTTTATTTGTCACCAGCCCTTCTTTAGCGTTTATTTTTGCCACCAGCCCTTCTTTAGCGTTTTTATTTGTCACCAGCCCTTCTTTAGCGTTTTTATTTGCACCAGCCCTTCTTTAGCGTTTTTTTTGCCACCAGCCCTTCTTCAGGCTTTTTCGTTGCCACCAGCCCTTCTTCAGGCTTTTTCGTTGCCACCAGCCCTTCTTCAGGCTTTTTCGTTGCCACCAGCCCTTCTTCAGGCTTTTTCGTTGCCACCAGCCCTTCTTCAGGCTTTTTCGTTGCCACCAGCCCTTCTTCAGGCTTTTTCGTTGCCACCAGCCCTTCTTCAGGCTTTTTCGTTGCCACCAGCCCTTCTGCAGGCTTTTTCGTTGCCACCAGCCCTTCTGCAGGCTTTTTCGTTGCCACCAGCCCTTCTGCAGGCTTTTTCGTTGCCACCAGCCCTTCTGCAGGCTTTTTCGTTGCCACCAGCCCTTCTGCAGGCTTTTTCGTTGCCACCAGCCCTTCTGCAGGCTTTTTCGTTGCCACCAGCCCTTCTGCAGGCTTTTTCGTTGCCACCAGCCCTTCTGCGGGCTTTTTCGTTGCCACCAGCCCTTCTGCGGGCTTTTTCGTTGCCACCAGCCCTTCTGCGGGCTTTTTCGTTGTCACCAGCCCTTCTGCGGGCTTTTTCGTTGTCACCAGCCCTTCTGCGGGCTTTTTCGTTGTCACCAGCCCTTCTGCGGGCTTTTTCGTTGTCACCAGCCCTTCTGCGGGCTTTTTCGTTGTCACCAGCCCTTCTGCGGGCTTTTTCGTTGTCACCAGCCCTTCTTCAGGCTTTTTCGTTGCCACCAGCCCTTCTTCAGGCTTTTTCGTTTCCACCAGCCCTTCTTCAGGCTTTTTCGTTTCCACCAGCCCTTCTTCAGGCTTTTTCATTTCCACCAGCCCTTCTTCAGGCTTTTTCGTTTCCACCAGCTTTGCTTTCTTAGTCACTAGTTCTCCAGTCTTTTTTTTCGTCGCTAGCTCTTCTGCAGCCTTTTTCTTTTCCGGTAGGTCTTCAGCCTTTTTCTTCGCTGGTGACTCTTTTTCAGCCTTCTTCTTCGCTGGTGATTCTTTTTCAACCTTCTTCGCCGGTGATTCTTTTTCAGCCTTGTTCTTCGCTGGTGACTCTTTTTCAGCTTTTTTCTTCGCGTCCAGCTTTTTTTCAGGCTTCTTCTTCGCCGTCTCTTCGTGCCTCTGAAGCTTTTCCCGCTCCGTTCCTTGACATTTTTTGCTTACTATTTGATCTTGCGATCCTCCTTGTTGATCTTGTGGTTCGCCCTTTTTCGCCTCTGGGGTTATACAAAATAGATCGAGACTATTTTATTTTACACAGAACATGTTCAAGATAAGACCCATTTTGCACTCCAATATTCTAAACAACTTTCATTAGGAGCGATGTTCATTGTTAATGTATATTATACACTATTTACAAATGTCACCAGGTTTTTAAAAATTGTTTTTTAAAAAGGTAAGCTTACCTTTTAAATTAAGATCAGGTGTGATTAAATAATCGTAGCTGTCGTGCAGTTTAGGTCGAAAAAGCATATGGGGAAATGAGGTTCACGTTTATATATGAAACAATGCATGTACGAATGCAATATCAACATAATTTATTATGCCGTAATACTTTTTTGCAGTGTCCGCTTTGTTTACTAGTTTATCAAGAAATTTTTATTTATTAATTGTAATTTTTGGCAGTATATATATAAACCTGGCAATGCTGCCCTGCGCGACACTTATTTAAACAAATACACACCATACTTGTGAAGGAAGTACCTGCTTTGGATTCTATTGAACTCCTGACTTTTGTCGCATCTGTCATGGACGTCGCCTGCATTTTTAGTCGTCGATGGCCTTATCTGTTATTTGTCATGACCTCGTCGCACTTTTGTAACAACAGCACCGTAATGACCTCTTTCTTAGAAGGTTGTAAAATACAGGCGGTATTTTATGCTCGTGTTTTCTGCATATGCCTCAAGCGTTGAGTGAAATGAGGTGAAATCGAGATGTTTCCAATCTGTTGTTATGGAAGGACGTACTACTGATTTTGTCGGTTCAACAGCAGCAGCCGGCAGCTATGACTTTCGCAAAGGACTACATTAAGCAATACCACGGAAGGTAATCCAATTCCAAACCAGTGATGATGCTAATAATAATTCAGTTCAGATTCTATACGAACTCAGTCTGTTGACCGCAGTTTAGGTTCTTTATAGTAGATCAGAAATAAAGTGGACTCAAGTGGCATTTACAAAGCAACAGAAACAAATTCTAAGTAACATCCTCGTACAGTTATGTCAAACGTTCGAATGTGTTGTCATGCTATAAAAATAAATTTAATTAAGAAAACTATATGTTGAATGAGACTAGGTCATGTCATGGTCTCCAGATAACAAAGACCGTGGCGTTTCACTTAGATTCTAGCAGCAACTTCCTTATGTATTCATCTCTTCCTACTTCTCAGCCGACTCTTCACTTTTGCTAGAAATCTTTTGGTGTGATGTTGAACCGGTGTTAGTCTGATCAATTTTTGGAAATCTCTACATTGTAGAATGCACCATCTTGAATTTTAGTTGCCAGTGATCGCAAAAGGTGGTAATCCGTCGGTGCAAAGTCTGGGTAATATCGTGGGTAGAGAACTCCGACTAAAGCCTTTGCAGTACGAGCTTCATGACCTTTGTTATATACGATTTGACGTTATCGCAGAACGAAAAAAACGATGTTTCCTTCTTCATTATTTCTTCTCTATTGAATAGCCTTGTATGATCGATCCCTGCTACATTTTTGCTTTCCTTCATTCTTCTCTAGCATTGCTCAACGCACAAGATTGTTCCAGCACCACTAAACGCAAATCAGGGTTTCTTCAAGCCGCCTTAACTTTTGAGTTTTGGCTGACCTCTCCGAGCTACCTGTCCTTCTCTGTCTTATATCGACGCGAAGATACTCCCGTAACAATTCTGCTTAGCAACCAGTCTCTGAGGCTGAGCATTGTCCGCTGCTGAGCGAAATGTTTAGGTGCAATCAGAAGCCATGTTTTTTAACGCGTTCTCCGTCAACTAGTTGACACGTAGGCCCTTGATTTCTGGTAAAGATCTAGAAATTCAAAATACCAAATGACACTTTCATATTCGTAGTCTTTTTTTTTTTAGGTTCTCAACACGGCCGTAGTACGTGTATGCATGTGTTATTCTTTGCCCAATTTATTACTTCCGGATCCCTGAAACCCATTCTCAAGACATGTGCGTAGAGATAGAGAGAGAGGGCATAGTAAGTCTATACAGAAAAGCCTTATGAAATAGGCAGGCAATTAGGATTTTACAAACACCCTTATATCTTTCGCACGTTTATCATTGAAGGGTAAATAATGATTTTTAACCGAATAGTGTATATGTAACGAATTAGTGAAATATTTTGATCTAGAAATCGGCAAAGGGTTTACACGTATATCGGGAAAACGAAACATCTACGAACGTGCATCGGGGTGACAAGGAAAAATTTTACCAACATATAGAAGTAGCTGCAACACCATGACCCGATAATGACAACAAGCATGTTGAACAATAGCCTGACCTAGAGCTTGAATTTGGTAAGACTGCGATTACAGAAGAAAATTAACTGCAGTGAGAGAACGTGAGACCCGCAACGGCGCTAGTATTAACTGATTTCTGTAAGGAAAAAAGACCGCTGCAACACCCACTGCAGCGACTAGTATAGCAAACAAATTTTA